TCCCTTATCAGCCAGGCCAAATCTGATCCCTCTGGGTGGTCATAGCAACCAAAGCCTGGAGCACTCTCTGGCTGTGTCTTCACTTCTAGCTTTCAAAACACTTCCTTTTCTATCTCAAGCTGTGATCCGATGAATTGGTTCCAAACAGGATTACTAAAGAAATGAGATTATTTATCTAAAGATCTTGCTAAGTCTTCTCTGAAAATGCCTTCCTGCTTATAGAAATGGCATCTTCCCACTCTTAATGTAGATATACAAACGTATATCTTTTCCAAGTCAGATTTCAGTAATTTTCTGACTGGCAGCTATACAACCTCTGACCATAAACTATGTGTCCTCTAGTCTGTCCAGCTCAACGAGAACATCAGTCCTGTGCAGAAATGGAAGAAAATAAATACTGTTGTGTTTAGGTGATATGCCAGTTCAGGGAATACAGTATCCTTAAATGCACACCATACCGCATTCTGAGTGGCTCAGTTTCCTACACTGGCCCTTTAGCCAGGCGAAATACACTTGGGAAACTACCCAAGTCACCAGTGCTGTAGTCGACCTTATTTTGTGGCCGGCTGAACCCTTGTAAATCTATTTGGGATTCCATCCTGATTACTGCATGCAAATGTTCTTACACCATTCTGTCTAGGACAAAGACTGGGGAGACCACACAGAAGCAATGATCCGTCTCTTCCACCTAATTGTTGTTTGTGGTGAAGGGAAGATGGCCAGATAGGGTGTCACTTCTCACAGAACGACAGCCTTAGCTTAGTAATGGCCTTCTCTTAAAGACTCTTAGATTGATGACTGACTGACTCCAGATTAGGCTCATAGGACTCATCCAAAGTCTACTGCAGTAAACCTCCATGGAAGAGTCCTGGATGTTAGTTCCTAGTAACAAAAAATAATACTAATAAAAAAAGTCAGCAAAATAACGACGGTTTGTTCAGCATTCTACAGAGGATATTTAAAAGTGCTTCCTATAGATGGAGGAACTTCAGAGAGAGCAGGGAGTTTACTGATGAAGGAACAGTTGTGGGGCATAGCAAGGGAAATAAGAGAAAGAAAAATCAAGTATCTCAGGTAGAAATAGTGTCCATTTCCTTAAAAAATAATCGAAAAAGTGTAACAGAGAATTGCAATAGCTAGGTTGGCTTCAGAAGGAAGTTCAGGCACAGGAAGAATGTGTTTTAAGAAGACTGAAGGGAATTTTATGTGCCAGGAATTCTATAGGCAGCATGGGTGACATTAGGTTTAAGGTAGCAGGGAGAGGAAAAGCGAGGGAAACAACAGCATCTGTTTCAGCATACCCAGTTTGTCATTACAATCCAGAACACACACCTCCAGTGTGGAAGAATAATACTCAAAACCGAACAATAGTGGGAAATTTATCAGGTAATAACTTGTAACATGAATGTATGGGAGGGAAGTCAACAGAGTTTTGGAATGACAGAGAAAGCTTATTAGACTGTGTTATTTACCAAGACTGCTCCACCTTTAACTTCTGATCTGTAGGGCAGTAAAATGGGAAGATACACCCATACCTTTAAAACAGGTATTTATCTTTTGAATATTCATTTGTCAATAAAGTAAAAAAGAATAACCAAAATTAGTAAATGCCTTATAAAAGATATTTATGTTCCCCTCTACTTTCTTCAACATCTTACTCATAATAAGAGTGGTTATTTTCATTAAACCAGAAACAAGATTTTAACTGAGAAAAGAGAAGTATTTTATAGGACTTGATCACATATTTCCATACAAGACATTTTTACTGTACCAGCTAAGAAAAGAAGCATCTCTCAGCAACAGTGACCTAAACACTAAGTCTTCTGAAATGACTTCTTTGTATTTAAAAACATCATGGCTTCAGATAAACTTCAGATAAAACCTTAAAAGCTGAATGCAAGAAGGACATTTTATTGTTATTATTGACTGGCTGTTAATGAAATCATTCCAAGAAGTACAGGGTATTTTTGCCACTATCAATTTCATTCTTGATCTACATGACTGCTTACGCTAAAATATTGTCTAATAATGTACATGACCATGTTCTTGATGTTTCATTTTCCTTATTGTTTTGTTTATATATGCCAAACATTGCTGCTGCCAAGGACAGGATTCTAGCATAACATATAGATGTTATTTGAAAGAAAACATCTTATATATATTTTGATGCATCTGACGAAGCAAATGTTAAGAATACAGAATTCTAGTAACTGTAAGTCAGGGAATAAACAACTGTACCATGGGTATCATTCTTAAAAGCTGCAGTTTTATTTTACTAAATTATCTATGTTAAAAACAAATCTGTGCCTGGTGTGGAATTTCACTGCATCAAGTGTTACAATTTTTCATTACAAGCAAGAGAATGCATGTAGAACAAGTGTTAAGAAACATGACAATAAATTAGAATATAATTTACAAAAGCAAAAATAATAATAATAAAGTAACAGTGTACCACATTAATACTGAGTATAAAATAATAAGCAACTAATCACAATAATACAAAGGTAATTTCAGTCTGTATTATTAAGGATATCTATGTGACATTCACTCCATTACAAAGTTCCTAAAGAAATGGACTAATTTTGGGTGTATACACCTTGAGGGGTTAATCCCTAGATTTTTCTTTCTGTTTTGATCTTCTTCAGCTGATAGTATTGCTCAGTGGAAGTACTGGCACTAGACTGATTTCTGCATTTCGTATTTTACTATTTGATATTAGGCCTGTCATTTTTATAGCCTATACAAATAGTTATTTTGTCACTATTTAGGAATATAACACTATTTAGCTTAGATTATATAAAATGTCTACAGTGTAGCAGCAACAATGAACTGTGCTGTGGAAACCAATTATTTTTCTTTGAATTAGGTTTCATTTTTCGGTCTTAATCTGAAGCATTGCTTAGTTTGTAAATCCGCATACATTCTGTGTTTTGTTCCCTTTAACAATACAATTCAACATTGCACCAGGGAGTTCTTTGAATTCCAGCCTCAGTGCTGTTATGTTGCAGAGTAAACATTGGACTCCCTAATGTCCTAGCACCAGTAAGAGAGCAATATGTGTCTTTGGAAACACTCCTTAAAAAATTAAAGTGAGGTAAAAAAAAAAAAAGGTTTCTTTCAAATACATAGCTGAATAGACACATTAGCTGATAAAAAAGATCATGCCCTGGAGTAAAACAGACCCTGATAGAAAGAGGCCTCTTACTTAGGGAGTACCATAGCAACCCCTTTCCCTTTCATCATATATTTGACCTAGCCAGGGCATGCTAGCACCAAGGTGTTTTCTCAAAAGAATATAGAAAGTTAATTCATTTAACTGAGAAGGACTATATACTGCCCTTAATCCCCATGTGCCACTCCTAAAGATTGGGGCTTTATTATCTGCTGGTGTCAGTTTTAACAGGAGTTGTTTACATGGTGATGTGAGAAGCAGATAAGCATACGTGAATACATGCAAGCCACCTGAAAATGAATTCCACTGGTCATAGACGTACAGACGTGGAAATACTAGCAAGAGGTAGCAGATGGTAGTAATTCGATGTTCATGAATACGTAGGCTACACAAAACCCCACAGATAGATTGTCAATATGTTGGGTGGATTTCATAACTATTCCTGTTAACAGTATCTATTGTTCCATGTTAATCCACATTAGTAAATAGCGTGCAATACATTTGGCTTTTTATTGGCACACTTCAATCTCATGATGTTTCGAAATTATTTTTCACTGAAAAGAGTACTTTTTTTAAAAAGTGCTATTTGGTTAGAATTTGTAACACATTACTGTTCACATAATTTTAATTGCACTACAACAAAGGAGGCATAGTTGGACACAAAAGCACATTCATCAAGTACCTGCTGCAAAATGCAAGTGTTCAAGTACAATATATTAATATAAACAAGTACCTACTTTCCTTATCTCCTCGTTGAGTCTGTTACTGAAAAGTGAAGGGGAAGAGGAGCATGACAATTAACATTTTCATGGTATATTTTTGAATATGACTTGCCTAAGTAGTTTGGCTTCACATTTAAAAATGCATAGTATTTGATGAATATTAAAAACGTAGTAATAGGAAGTAAGTGGAGTACGGCAGCAGAATAGTTAAAGCATCTAGCTACTAATCCATAGGCATGAGTTCATTTGTCTCATGCTGAAAGCTGCCCCTAAATGAAATTATGGTCTAGCTTTAAATATCTACCTGGTCATTTAGGTGAAGGTGGCCAAAATTCATTCTAGCCACCTCTTTTCCAGTGTGCCTTTCTCCTGATAGTCCAGCAGGCCTCTTGGCGCAAGCACACTTTTGACTTCTCACTTGAACAGAACCTAGATAATCTTCACGAGTCATTTATTCTTTGGTTGCAACCTTGCCCACTTGGATGTGGTCTCCTGAACCGCACATTCATATATTCTTTCACATAAACAAATCTCCTTCTGCTACAGAATCAAAGAAGGGGACATCTGGAAACCATTTTAACGTTCAGCTTTGCAAAGGATTGTTGCTATTACACAGTAGGCTTATCTTTTGCACTGGAATTCCTTAGTTTTAGAGGATCAAAAGTAACATGTAAACCTGATCTAGACGCCTGCAAAGTTGTTTCTTCTTTGTGGCTGGTGTTGTAAACAAAAGCGAGCTGGACTCAAAGTGTAAGTTCTAAGCAAGTTCTGTACCAGAGTAGTGAAAGAGCTGGCTATATGGTCTTCATCACCGTTGGAGTCTGCCTCCTCCATGATATTGAAATATGTTCCCTTTCAGTGAAAATCTCAGCTTTACTTGTGCAACGGTAAGATGGCTATAAACCTGCAATACAGATTTAATTTCATTTCATAGCACACTTGTATTTTATGCACCACTGCAATAACTGTTGCACCTCTTAAAACTAAGTCCCTCACGGTTGTTCTATTTAGTATAGCTTTATATATGGCTCACAGCAGTGTTCAGGAAATACGGATTACTCCAAAGGGAATTAGGTGGAACGAAGGAAAAATACATTTTTTTAAAAAAAATTTCTGCTCCTTAAATAACATTTTCAAACTCATTTCATAATTTAAATTGTGGTGCTGTGTTGTGAGATAAAATAGTTAACATTTTTAAGCTATGACAACATTTTTTTTGATTCTTTACTTCCATAGTAGACCAAGTCATAACAGCTACATTTTAAACAGTTTTAAATACAAATGGATTCAGTGTCATTGCTAAGTCCATAATAAAAATTATTTTAATGGTCCAAGGAGGTAAACAGACTATTGGATTTAGTCAAAGGAACACAAACGTTCCACAGTAAGCTATTCTATATGTGTTGCGTGGATCTTTCCAATTTGGCATGCCCTCCTTATACTGTGTCCAGCACTTTGGATTAATAAATCCCACTTCACAGAAGTTAAAATAATATTGAAATCCTGTCAGCTGTGGCTGACCAGTGGTTACGTTTTCCACAGGGTAATGCATTTGCAAAGACATCAATCTCATTCCGCTGTGTGGCTCTCTTCGATGGACACTCTTCCACAATGATAACAACGAGGCATATTCTTGTGCTTTCTGTAGGTCAGTGTCCTTGGCAGGTCTTGCAGCACATCTGTCTGAAGTATGCTCGACTGCAGAACTTGAACTTCAGCACCAGTGGGCAATATGCCACTTTGTTCACATCTTTGCACTCTAATAATTAAGAGTATTAAAGAGAAAAAAAATCACAAATAAAAATCAAAGTTCAAAGCAAATTTGACATTTAACATGCTGCTTCTCCATCAGTCCACCTTGCTCTCTTTGCAGCTACTTTCTAGCCTAGTGCACACAACATATTTTTAAAAGACAAAAAATGTTTGCAGGGCTTCTCTCCCAGACATTTAGAAGTCTGCCCATTTTGTCTCAGAAAAATTATCGTTTACTGGGATAAATGGTCACTTTAGACAGCTAGGAAATGTGAGTCATTTTCCTCACAATACTTTTTACAGCTTTTCCTAAGGAGTTACTTTATCCATCCTTGAGAGGTTATCCAAACTCTAACACAATTTGCACTATTTACTATCATGCCTTTTCATTTGGAAGAATCCTGGAAATAAAATGTACATTGACGCTAACGGGGATGGAGAAAAAGATGAGGATTATGAAAAAAGGGCACCAACAATATGAGTTTAGAGACTGAATGTTGGATTGCATTTTAGTCTTGGTTCCACACATCCACAACTGCTTTTGTGTAGTAGGCAAAGCCATTTTTATGCCTGCAATGGAGACATAATAGCTTTTTTCACAGTTTTGTTTTCCCTATATGGTAGACTTAATGCAGCCCTTTTCACACTGGCAAGGAGGGAGAACAAGAGCTCAACCACATGGAGGGAGGTTCCCTTCTTTTCCATTCCACACATGTTGTATCTAAAGTGACTTGCAGGAGTACGTAACAGGAGCACTGCTGGACCATGTGGTTCTCTCTTCTGACTCAGTTTTCTTCCATAGAAAGAAGGTGTGAATAGGGAATTGAATAGTTTGGTCCATGCCCAGCTCTTCTTCTGATACTGCTGGAGATAGAACTGTACCTGACAGCTCAGTAGTGCACTCAGGTTCCACAGCTCAGATGCTGCTACAGAGTTCCTCTGCACTGGTGAGAATATGGTGATAGGTGACTGTCAGGGGATTTTTAGTTAAAAGCATTTTCTCAATTCCTTCCAGACTGGTATTAAAATAGGACTTTGGCAAGGAGTTTTGCTTCATGTGTAGGAAGATGGAAAAGGTATATGGAGAAAAAGTAATTCCATGAGTTTGAATTACAAAAATTAAGTGATGGAAAAATGAAATTAGATTAATTTCTCAGCAAATTATTTGTCTCAAAAGAATGCTGTAAGCTTTTACTCTTTCAAGGTCATGTTTGATACTCCCTCCTACAACCTTTCTCAAATTACAACAGCTATAGAACATGTGAATGAAAAGGAGATGAATTAACAGTACTTTGACCATTATCATATTTTGTATTGATTTGATATCTAGAAGTGAAGACTGGAGGCCAGGATGCTGTTGTTACAAGGCCTGACAGAACAACAGTCCTGGACTCCGAGATGTGGGTAAGCTAAATATGAAAGAGGCAGCAGACAGACCAAACAGGTAAGAAAAGGAAAAAGTAATAGTAAAACAAACACAATCAGCATGTACAATCATCCAGCTACTCCTATTTGTCTTTCTTCTACACACAAACTCCTAGTACATTATTTTTGCTAATTATGGTAATTATGGACAGAGCGTTCACGCTGCAAGCATACTGCGCTAGGAAGTTAAGCTCAGATAAAAATTTTTAGTATTTGAACCGAGGAAACCATTAGTGAGGCTGAACTTCAGGGTCTGTATTGAATGTTATTTCTGATAATGGCAATATGCATGCTTTTAGCTAGATAAGTAGAGGTCATGAAATGATTTAAACTTTATTTCATTAACACAGATATAGTGCTTTTATTGTAATCTTTTTACTCCATCTACCCAATGTTTTATGCACTGCTTTTCTAATTTTTTCTCAATTTGGAAACAGAGTTGGATGCCAGGTGAAAAGTCATCAGTTGTAGCTGTTTGAAAAGTCATCAGTTGTAGCTGTTTGAAACAGACATATTTCTCTATCATCAACCACACATGGTCACTGTGTTTTAATAATTTCAAAAACTCTTCCCAAAAGAGGTTAAATATCTTCCAGAAAAATTATAGGTGCTTGTGTCTGTGAGGACTGGGAATACAGGAGAGACAGATGGTGAATTATAACTGAAGTGAGGAATGAAAAGGCTCACTTGATGTTGATGAGATGTAAAAAGTTCACTCAATCCTAAAAATAACCCTCATACACATTTTATTTTGTTTAACACAGGTAAAGCCAGTAACTGTATTTTTGCTAAGAGTAGGATTTGAAATTACCCTATTTCAAGTTTCTTTAAGTTATTCTTCCTCTTGACTAAAACTGGACCCTGTTCAGCCAATGCCATTTGGACAGCAGTGAGCCAGTATTCTGGAAGTTGCCCGCAACTTCTGTTTTAAAAATCAGTCTTGAAATAGATATGGTGGCTGATGAAGTAGACTATTCTTCGTAGGACTGTGGTTGAATGTAAGAGGTTTAGCAGAGCCTTTTTTGGTCCTAATAACTACTGCTAATAAGTCTCAGTAAGCTACATGTATTAAACTCTCTCTTCCTGAACTTTATGGCTAGATCAGACAATATTATGCTATTAACCTTACAGTAATAAAATCACAGTTAACATCACTGTGCCTTCAGCTAAAGAGACTAAAAAGACGTATCACAAAAAACACAAGGAAAACTGAAATGACATAAAAATAGATAAAATAGTTTTTCAGGTAACATTTCAGATGGCCTTTAGCAGACTAGATTCAGCAGACATACAGATAATTAGGAGAATAAAGTAATTCTGAATACATTTCAAATCATGTGGAACATGGTAACTACAAATAATACTTTGAAATTAAGACGAGACTGGGACTAAATCATGCCCACTTAAAAGTACTTAATTACCTTCCAAATCCAGCATAAATCAGTGTTTGGGTTTTTTTAAAAATAATCAAAATCAGAGTACTTGTTCCATATAAACAGGATATTAAACTCCTAGTGGTTGGAAAACCTTTGTAAAAGATACTCCACTATATACTGTGCAGAGATTAATTATGTTAAAAGAAGTAGTCTTAGTGACGCTGTCGTCAAGTGCTCAAACTTTAGGGAATATAAAAATTTAGAGAATAACTGTTTTGAAAGAATTATTATTGCTGAGTAATCTTTGTTGATTTTTGGATATGTGGGTCTTCATAATTTTTTATTCCTTTTTTCCTTCCATACAAAGGGAAATGTACTTACCTGGTAAGCAACTACTCTAAATTTTTATAATGAATGAGGAAAATTTTTTTCACAGCCTAGCACCCCAATTCTACTTTGAAGACAGCATTTCCTAACAGGCTGGCTTGAACAATTTATGAGTTCATATCTGGAGTTTTTCATGAACATTAATAAGCTTATTTTGATACTGTTACCCAATATATCCTCTATTAAAAATCTGTTATGATGAAGCTAGATAACGGTCTGATTAAATTAGACTGAATCATGTAAAGAATACTGTAATTATTTCAAACAGGCATATTATAAATCCAAGAAATTAAAAGTCAGTTAGAATAAGCTGCCAAGTGAGGCAAAGAATAGGCTTGTGGGGATGTGTAGCATTGAAATGGTGACTCCAGTCTTTCAATGAACATGTAACTGACTTTTTTTGCCACTGCATTGTTACGTTAACCACTGATGGAGCAGGCAGGTCAGTGGACGACAAGTATATCATGCTCCCCCCTGTTACTATGAGCATTTACACTGAACCAAAAAAAGAGACTGGAAAATCAATGACACAAAGCAATAGTATTTTGTCCACGACTTATGCTATATATTTTTAAGGGGACTTCTTTAAACAAAGAACTTGCATTAAGGTTTTTGTTGACCTCACCTTTGAACTACAGTGACTACTTCCAAAATAATGGTAAAAAATTCATTCACAGTCTGAGAGACGATGTCATATAGGTGGTTGTACAGACTGTGTCACTTTACTCTTTCCAGAATAAATTACATTAAGACAGCAAACATACCTTCTGTGTTGGAAATGGGAGTATTGTCACATTTACTTTCACACTGCTGCATTGACGGAGGTCTAAGTGTTTCTGGACACTCGCTGGATGCTTGTCCGGTGTATGAGAGGCATTGTACTGTTCTCATCTGCTGCCCAAGACCACACTGTGCAGAACACTGAAAATAAGAAAGATAAACAAATAAAACAACTTGGATTCCATTTTTAAATATAAACCAAGATAACTGGAAAGCAATCAGGAACAGTATGCATGCACAACTTTTAAAGAGGATAGGCATCTGCCTATTTGTTAATAGAGAAAACATTTTTCATGTAACAGTTTAGAATTCTTCTTTTTTGTCAGTATACATGAGTCTTTGAAAGAAAACAAAATACACTGCAATATTGGGTCCCTGAACAATTCAGATTCAAGGTGTAAAAATATAATTTACATTATTTTGCATATCATGTGTTTAACTGCATGCTGTAAAGAGAAAAATAATCACTTTAGAATAAAGATGAAAAACCAAGAAGAAAGATAATTCAAATCTGCTAGAGGACTTTTTTTAAGGAAAAAGGAAACTACCTTTCAAACAAAAATACCTCACAGTTTTCAAACATTTTTTAATTTCTATAACTAAACAATGAGTTTAGTACAATATCAATTTAAGATAAATGTGCATTTGAAAAACTATCATACCAGAAAAGCTGATTAAACTGTAATACCACACATGACTGTCCCCTGGTTAGTGAGGACAACTTTTTTATTTTTATTAGTGGCAAATTACTCTGCAAACTTAGAAACTGAAAGATTCATTTATTTTTCTGAATTTGAATAACTGTGATGCAAAAACATAAAGAAAGAAGAAAACTCAGTATATCATATTTAAAAACACTATACAGTGGCAGCACTATTCAGTCTGTTCTGTAACAATTTAGCTACCTGACTGGTAAGTCAGCATATTTTATGTAAAATTATATAGATGTCAATTATTTTCTTTTCTTCTAAATATGCATACATGTAACTAATATAGGAATTGGCTCTGTATTTCCATCATCTTTCTCAAGGACATTAAATGTGTTTTAAAAACACAACAACAACAAAATCCCCTTTCAAAAAAACTGTAATAAGGACTATTTAATTTTTTTAAAAAGGTATATATAAACTCATCCAGTAGAAACTAGGCTGCTGTCAGCAAATCCTTTATAATTCAGCAGACAACTACCATCATTCAGAACTACATTTCAAACTGAGACAAACAGGGGAGAAGCTTTGTTTCAGTCATGGGAACCATTTCTTATCTGTTTCCAGCAACATCTTATCCTTAGAAGGTGCTAACATGTAAGAGACTTAACAGCAACAAACACTTGTATGAACTATGTTACCTGTCCCCAGTCTCCAGTAACCCAGCGTGGAGGAGGGCATCGCCCTAAACTACAGCGGATGCGGACTGGCGGCTTGCTCTCCTCTTGGCATTGCACAGCTGGAAAAGTTTTTAAAAGATCGCTGCTTTTGCACAGAACAATTCGGTGTTTGAATCCTGGGCCACATTTTGGTGTGCACTGAAAAAATATTGATATAAATAAATAATTGAAATCTCAGTAAAAAGCCAATAGAAGTGTCAGAAGTATTATTACGGAAAACGGAAGATTGTATTCATGGCCTTATAAATAAACTATCATCACAACTTTCCCAAAATTATAATTACAATTTTAAAAAATTTAGAAACAGAAACAAGCTTCCTCATGGTTGCTCTATTAAGTTCAAGTTTTTATAAGTTTTAATTTGATAAAAGTAGACTTTCTTTGCTATGTAGTCTATGGTGTTACTATTTGCTTTTCTGCATGAGAGTCTTTAGGTTAGGTTTAAGAAAAGCACTTTGCTGCAAAGTAGAAAGGTCTACAACATCTAGCACTACTATGAAAGAAACCTGAGTATGCATTTCAGAAATTAGAAGCAGAATTCTCTCTTCTTAGTACGACCTTAGTATAGTCTTCCTCCACCTCACTGATAGACTACCAAGCTACAATGAACACATTTTTCCTCAGTAAACTTAAGATAAATGCTTTACTGGACTCCACAGAAACCAGACTACCCAGATGAAAATATTGTACCCTCTCCCACAATGTATGCATTTCTCTACTTTCCTACTCAAATGTTAATTCTGTTTTCATACAGTTCTTGGTTTTCCTCCTTTTATCACTCCTCTGATAGCTGCAACAGCAAGGAGATAATAAAACAGAAATTTGAAAAGAAGTAGGTCTGATGACCTTCGCTATTCCCCTTTTCCTTCATATAGGTACCCTCCTTCTAGTTCCCTTTTTTTACTGATTATTAACTGTCATTTACATTACCACAGCTGCAGAATGGGGAAGAGACAACCACTAACAAAATTAAAACACAGGACCTTCACCAAACAGTCCCTTTATAATATCTAACCAGCAGAATCTGCAAGCACAGTTTTAGAATTCCCTATTGACAGATTAACCTTCATCCCACAAGCACATCCGCAATATTTGGACCAGAATCAGTTTCTGATATCATAAACCTTACACACAGATTATGCTAAATCTGTCAAGAGTGGAACTGCTTTTCATATGAAAGCAACTGTAGAGACAAAACATTATCTGGGAAATAATGATATGTGGAACTGAAGCAATGCTCAAGATGTCGCACTCCGAAGTCCTTCCACACATCCAAAACAGGTCAATTTATAACTGGATAAAAAAGAAAAATCTCCAAGATTAATTTTTAATAAAATTACCTGAGTGATCTAAACTTTATTGTTGTATGTCTAATTCAGAAGCATGTCTGCCTAACTTAAAAAAATTTTAAACCAGTTCCACAGTACCATGTAATGTATTCTCTACACTTATATAAAGGTGTGCATACATATATATAAACACTTCAAAACAAGATCTTTGAGAAACTCTCTCAGTTGGAGCCACCTAAACTTGTCCATATAGAATGGGCAAGTTTAGCCCAAATCTTCCCTCGTCTTACATTTAGGATCTTAAACTGGGCTGCAAAGAGATGGGTCCTCCATTTGGAGTTTATAATCCAGAACTGCAAAACAAGTATATAACCACTTCATTTAAAATTTAAGCTTTTCTTTCCTATCCTATTCTATCCTTTCCTTTCAAGGTACTGCCTCCTTTGCTACACCAGTTTGGTGTTCAGAATTCTGATACAGAACTGCCAGGTTCAATCATCCTCATACTGAAGGGGCTTTAACCCCAAATCTTGTGTATTCTATTTTGCCTGCTCGAAAAGTAGAGTGAGAGGGAAGTAAGGTAAGAAAGATCTCTGTCTCTCTGGTTGAACTGCAAAAAGAATGTTATTGCTAAGTAGAGACCAAGAAAGAATGATAATGGACATGTGAGGTCTTCAGCATCATGATCATGACTCATCAGTTTTGGTCTAAATTCCATGGAATGCTACATGCATTTTCTCCCACAAATATTTTATATAAAATGCATGACTTTTAAGCCGAAACTAGGAGCAAATGTCCCTGCCTAGCTGAGTGCTTAAAAATCACTAGTGCTCAATCTCTTCTTCTCAGTGACTGAGTACTCTGGCAAAAACAGAAAAGAGACAAGGTTGAAAGGACCTTGTCAAAAACGTCAAAACCCACTGGGTCTGTTTCATAATCTCTAGAATGTATTAGCAAATAAACAGGAGTTTGAGTATCAAAATCTGAGTTTAGGTGCATCCATTTTCTGGTTCCATTTGAAGATAAATTCTATGCCATCTGAAAAAATCTTTCAGCTACCAGTACCAGAAGAAAAAACGTTTTGTAAGTCATAGTCAAAATTCCACTAAGACTACATCCAGTCCCCAGAAATGAAAATGTAGAAAGGAAATAGATTGCCTACAATAATACTGAAACACCAAATAAAAAAAGGACCAGTAGAATCTAACAAAAAATTCATGCCTCCAGAGCAAATGCAAAATACCCAAACAAAACAAGGAAAAAGTGTCTTCCATTACTAAATGCTTCCAGAATTTTTGACTTCTTCAGTGGAAGCCATGACTAACGGTAATATGAATGCATATGGCTCTTTACAAGAAATTCTTAATTATTTTTTGCTGGTTTACTTTATTATCTGGAAAATTATAAAAGAAGTAATTTGATCAAAAAGTATGAGAAATTTTACAACAAAACTAACATTACCCAAGAATGACTACATTCCACTGGGTAAGACACTGTTAGCTTTAATTACTATTTGGTAAAAGCCCTTTTACATTCTCCTGAGGATTTCATTTAATTACTTAATATAGTAATTCTGATTAAAATTAAGGATTTTATTTAATTACAAAATGTCTTTATTTCTCTGACAAAAAGATACAGAATTTCTCATTAATTACCATTGAAGACTAAAAACATGTGCAACCACATTGATGCTCAACTAGTGCATTAGCTTGTAAGAGTTTTGTATTTGTTTCATTTGTATCATGTATTGCTTGCTTTGAGTATGAAACCAGAATTTTAGAACTTGCATTCCAAAGAAAAGTAGCAAGGTTTGCTGTTGCTTTCAGTAGAAGCAGTATTCAGCTCTTCATTTTTCAAGTTGACTCTCATTTTCAATGTCATGCTTCTGTCAGAATATCATATAAATACAAATATATGTTTACATGTATATTATGATAATGATTTTTGGGAATCCTGAACAGAAACAAAAAAAGCTATTTTTCTCATTATATTAAAATTGTATCATCAGTAAAGATAGTTTGACAAGTTGCACCAGTCTCCTTTCATTTTTTTAGACAAAGGAAGTGGAACAATTCTAACTGACTTTCAGGTCTGCCTCTTGAGGCACCTTTCTAAGATGATGTATTACATAAGCACGGCTTCTAACACTTTAGGCCTATCTTCTCTACTATCCGGCTATCTGTCTGTTGAGAAAACAATGGAAATTGCTTTTTTTTCAGACAATTATCTCATACCAAATGGTTATTTTAATTTTTTTCTTTCATTATTTTTTTTTTACTATTTTACTGTTCTATTTTCCATTTTATTATTTTTCTACCGTGATTAATAAAAATAGGTTACAATCACGTTGACAAAACAACAGAACTAACAACACAGAAGGAATGAAAGAAAGAAAAAACTGCTTCAATACTAAATCTGTGGAGTTTTGAATTTCTATTAATCCTTTACTTAGCAAGCAGTGATAGAAACTGTACTAATATTCAGTGCCTCCACTATTACCAATGAGCTAACACAGCCATATTTCCTTACTTCTGACCAGTCCAAAGCGACCCACTGTGGGGGACAGGACTGATTGTTACAGGGCTCTTTTTCAACAGGCCGGTGTGTAAAACAGTTGGTGTTGTCCAGTGTCTCCTCCTCAGAAGGTCCAATCTTTCTGATGCAGAGAACTGTTCGTGAACGCATTCCTCCATCACAAGTCTTACTGCATTCTGACCAATCCCCTATAAACCACCTGGATAGAAAAAGTTAGGAGACTCAGTTAATGCATTTCAGAAATCGCAGATATTGCACAAACCCAGAATCCAAACACTTTCAATTATTAAACCTAAAAAATTGCTATACAATATAAGTATTCACAGTGAAATAAATTAGAAACTTATGGGTCTTTATACCGAACATTTTATTTTATGCCTCAGTGTGACTGTATCTTCCAATAATACTACTCCATATTTTTCTAGAGCAGCAATTTCCAGCCTAGGCTACAGTAGTTAAAAATTAGTGTTGATCCTGACAAAACTGCAGCTCTTTAAGTATATTTGTACTGGCCTTGCCTGAAATTATTTTTCTGAAAGTGGTTTGCAACTGAAATGTCTGGGAACCAGTGCTAGTTAAAGGCCAAGATGGTTGCCTCACTCATATCATTACAATAAATTAATTTGATCTCCAAACTGGGCTGAAAATTAATTCTCATCTGATTATGAAACATTTCTAAACTTTTTTATAAAGGGCTATACTGAAATGCAAAATATTCTTATTTATTAGCATAAGTTAAGCAAAATCCAGTAAAACATTAATGCATCACATAAAAAATTGACATCAACAAATATTTAAAAAATTTATAGCAAGGCATGACAGCTGCTACAGGGAACTGCTGAGTGTTTGAGTGTATATAGTAAAAATCAGAAGCTGTACAGGATATTTAGATTACTTTATGTTGCTGCAGAAATTAAAGCAACTGTTAATCGGGCTGTAATGTTTTGGGGTTTTTTATACTGATGAACAGTTAATGCAGCTCAGTTCACTGGAATTATCGCAAAATATCGCACACTTGGTCTTCAATATTTCTGCTGTTGAATTTCAGATGTTGATTAGATACACTCGCCTGAATCATCCTTGCAGAAGATGAAGACGTAGTATGCTATGACATGTTGCCAACATGCCAAGAACACCAGGCATGTCAGTGACTGTGGATGTTCCTGGAGATATGCTTGGAGCTGCCTCATAAGATTTGTCATTTTCCAAAGCCTCTGTCAAAAAAAGTGCTGCTATCCTGTCTTGTGTTGCAGAATGTGTAATATGTTCTAAAATGAACCTAGATCAATGCAGCAATTCAAAAAAAAACATGCCATATTCTCTCATTAATTTCCCTGCAAAAGGGAATTCTTCACCACCAAATGTATACTTTTTTCACAGCAAGGAAAAATTAGAAGGTCTTCATAGCTTTGGAGACACTGAAGCATAGAGTTGGCCACTCTCTTGAAAGAGGAAGTCTTACTGTATGATAAATCTTCCAGCCAAAAAGGTGAAACTTGTTTGGGCAACTATCTGTTATTTGAACATCATTCTTCTAGACTACTTACAGGAAAATCAGGAATCAAGAACCCTTCTTTAGAAGTTTGGCACTTTCTATTCACCCTGTGGGGAGCATTAGAATGGAGGCAGATGTGGGCTGAACTGCTCTGACATATCCTAGTAGATGCCGGTCAATAAACACCACCCACTTTCTGAATCTTGATGAACTGTCTCACCAATGTCCCTGATGTATTGGATGGAGCATCCAGAAGTGTCCCACTTTGTGGGTTGGGGTTTTTTTTCTTGTTTTTGTTTTTTTAAATCATGTCAGTGCAAAAATAAAAATTAACTAGTTTAGAGCAACTACCTTAATACCACTTTTTAAAGTTATACTTTGTTAATATTTAAGCCACACAAAGGAAGGGGTAGGGATATATTTGGTAAAAAAGGCACTGACCAAACACGACTACTTCCCAAGTTCTGCTCTCAGGTACATGACAGTGCACTTACAGCCATACTGACCAGTGTTAGCCAAACAGAATCTAAGCGCATGTACTTGCAGGATAAACATGTATTTACACACAGACAGTGGGGACAATGATTTAGACGTACTTTACATCTGTTTGTAAGGCATCACATTCACATTCAAGCACACTCAACGTAAGAGCAGTGCTATGGCCTCACTTCCGTTTATGACAGGGTGGGAAATATAAAAGACATTGCTCTGCCATCCTGCAAGCAGTCACCAAATCAGGGAAGCAGCTGACACTCTATAACAAAACTGGCTTCATGAAGACCTGTTAGGATTTTAATGCATTATAGCCCTGTCTCATTCCTCCCCATGTCCTTTATGCTACAATTTTACAGCTTCTAAGGGACATTTAAAGGAGATCACAGTATTTCTTTATTGTAAAATATCTACATTTAATCAGCATTAATGATTTTCATGCCTGATTAGAATACAGCTACAGATTATCATCAGGCTTAAAATAACCAGAGCTTGTGAATCAATTAACAGTTGTATCTCTTCTGGTTTTCCCACAAGTTTATTTGTCTCAAATTGTAAGAAGGAGCTGTTGTGCACATGCTGCAATTATTTTGTAGCGTAAAATGTTTCTAAAGAGATCCTGTAGTAAGAATACGCTACGCTATAGATCCTTGCCAAATTTCATTTCGAACAAATGAGCTGCTGTGGTTTTAATTATCTTTTCAATATATAACATACAGCCATCTTTAAAATTAGACATAACCAAGTAGGCACCTAATCCTAAAGGCACTCAGCATTACTGTACAGCACTGAGTATCCTGGAGAGAAAGCTGTTTGACAAAACTATTATCAGTAAATTGTTTGGTCTACCAAGCAGTTTCTATGTTTGCCATTTCTTGTGTGAATACTTCAACTCAAATTTTAATACAATAGACTTCGAAAAATGGCAGGCATTTAGTACGTAATATAAGTATCTGTGGTAAAGTTACACTCACCTGAAGATTCTTCCATTGTTGCCTTAGGTCCTGAGTTTTACTCTGAGCATTTCCGACCAAATCTGACACTTACACCCTAAGAAACTGCTTTGCTAGTACCTTCTTAGTTATAATGTCTGAGCTGCTTCATGTAGTTCAAACACCACTGTTCCTCACTCACATCAGGCCTCCTCCAAGTCAAAGCATGGATTTTCCACAACTGATTTCAGAGGAAAAAGAAACCATAGCCAAAACCCAAAACCAATATAGCCAAAGCCAAAACCTGAATACTAGATCAGATTTTCATACACGATTGGCCAACAGGATTTAGTTTAGGTGACAAAGACCTCTATTTATGCAAAACACATATCCATCTTCATGATTAATGACTTACTCAGGTGGGCAAGGCTCAGTGTTGCAGGCTCTTTGGTTTTCTGGAGGCTTACTGTCAGGGTCACAGTAATTGTTTTGTACAATGGAGTCGTCATCCAGCCTTTTACACACCACCTCTTGTTTCTGCAAACCTTAGGGTGACATGAAATACCATTAATTAATCATCCTGCTCTTCTACTTGTTGGGCAAAAGTGTATTTCACCTACTGATTACTAATACTACCATCCCACTTTAATCAGCTGAATGCTGCAGGAGTGAGAATTCCAATCAACTGAATGCCCCCTGACTATAATAAATCTTCTATTTTCCTTCAATTTTAAGCCACCCCACTGAGAGAGGATTTTAAATTGCTGTTGTATTCTAAAACAAAAGAAATATATTTATAGATCTACTAACAGATTGTTTTTATTTTTATATTGCACAAACCCCATTTTTTTTTTCTATCCTCCTAGTAAAAGACACTTAAATTTCCAAAGAACACATCACCAGATAGAATGTGGTCACACTTCAATGCAGAATTATTGTTTATGTGCTCTGGTTTAAAATAAACCAGCAATACTGGGAAGCAGTGCTGGATTTTTATACATGTTATCCTATAAACATTTTCTTCATTAAAATAATAGAACCATTATTCATTCTGAAAGATGCAGTTTGTATTTGTGAACATTCATTTTTTCTGGCACTCCGAGCTTCTCATTCACTATTAACTATCAACAGTGCAGTGTAGAACTGATTATTATTCTCAAAACATAAGGATGTATCACTGCCAAGGCAACATTATACAGTAGTATATTAGGCAGATTTTCTGATTATTAAAAAACAATATCTGAAGAAAGACATTAAAGAACCATTGACATAAAAAGAGTGCAGCTCAAAGTATTGTTGTAAAGAGTAGTACACATGGCCTCCTCCTCTCTTTTCTAGAATAAGCTGTATGATGTTTGCTAGCATAGAAAGACTGTGGTTCTGCTATTCATACACTGTTCTTACTGAACATGAGTAGTCATATACTGAAATAATAAGATTTTTGTACACTAAGAGTTGCAAAACCCTCTGAATCTTTCTTAAAAACTGAACAAATTATTTAACTTTTTACAAAAAGTGAAATGCATACAATTAAATAGAGATTAAAACACCCTGATTCATATATGTGCCAACTTGACAGCCCTCTCTTCATTTTAAGACAGGCTTTTTATATGAGGTAGATGTGCAATAATAAATTAATTACATAAATATGTTTTTCAGACACTAAACATCCCACTAAAAGCATGTAATTTCCTTCAACAAATATTTGTAGGTCTTTTGCTCATTTCAAACAAGCTGAATAACTTACCTTAGAATTGCTTCTTTTGTTATTCGTTATGGACAAGAATGAAATCTCCTACTTTGGTTCCTAAAATGTGATCTATAGAGAATTCAGGTATTTATTTCCAACAGTGAGTCAGGCCTTCATGCCTGAAGTTTGGGTCACAAAACATCCTCCTTGGCTATGAACAGAAGTTTCCCAGTATAGATACACATGAAATGTCTTCATGAAGTTACATGCAAAGAATACGGGGAAAATGGTCCTTTCCTGTGATTAAACCCCTTTCTTATTTTCCTGCCATCGGCCTCAGAAATCTTGCAACCCTGGCTGCACTGTGGTCCAGAACATTTATTTTAAAAAATCTTCCCTTTTCCTACCCTCTTAGATTGCTCAGTTCTTTATGGCCCACAGTTAAGAATACTCTGTTGGAAAATAAAATCAAAAAACTCCAAAACCAAACAAGTACACGCTGGGGGGAAAAAAAAAAAAACAACAAAAAACCCCCATTTTGCTAGATAGTTAGGTCCAGTTGGAACTGAGAAACAAATCATAAGCATGGGGGACACTCAAGGGCCTGAAGTACATGCCTCCACAGCTGTTGGTTGCTTGTCTTAACATACAGATAATCTCATTCGGACATTCATTCGTCAAGTATCAAAGATTTTAAAGATTCACATGAAGATGTTCCATTTATACCACTCACAGCACCTACTATTTCAATTACATGAATTAAAGTTGAAATTTAGTGAGATCTCGCACTATAAAGGCAACACCCAACTAGAAGTAACACCCTCCTCTTGCTGGGAAATAGTCAATGTAGTTCCTTTCATAAACTGCTCAAGTTCCACTTCAAGCACAGGTACATTTTTCTTCTCTGAACTTCTCCCCTGTGAGTACTATAAACATCACAATTTCCATTCTAGTTAAGAGAGAATTTACGTCAGCTCTGACTGATGCCTAAACATTCATCCTTTCTATCACAACCTGCCTTAATTCTCATAGCAGCTGATAAAACAGGCTCAGCGTTGCCTTCATAATGATATTTCCCTCAAGTATAACTGCTTAATAGTAATGTCTGCACACTTTAGAGTTACACATACCATTCTCACAAATATATTTATGGAATAGCATAGGTATTAATGTTATGAATTTCCCACTGGCATTAGACACATTTTCTTCTTGGCTTTGGCTAAAAAATGGCAGCCACAGTAAATTAATTTCTGAGGAGTTATGTAATAAGAAATTATTCTGAAGTACCACAAAGATAAAGTACCACTGTCTTCAGTTTTCAAAAAAAAATAAGTCAGATATTTATTGAATGTCAGTCAGTTAGCGTTATCACTTGTAAGAATGTATTCACTACTATTCACTCACACAGTGAAGAATCTTTAATCCATGTCAGGAGATTACTAATCCAGCATTTTGCCACGCAGTGCGTAAACTTGACATCATCGCTAACTAATCACATTGTTATTTTAAGTAAATTCTCAGAAAAAAAAGATCAGATCCTAATGTTAAGATAAACAGAAGAAGGAAGGTTAAAGAAACCATACCTCACTGATGAGCAAGAATGGCAAGCTAGTAACAACAGATAAGGAGAAGGTTCTCAATTTTTTTTGCCTTCATCTTCACTGGTAAGCTCTCTCCTCACACTTCCTGAGTTGGAGGATCAGGAGGTCAAATTGCCCCCCACTGTAAGTGAAGACAAGATTTGTAACCACCTGAGAAACCTGAACATACACTTCTATGGGAACTGATGAGATCACAGAAGGCCAGTTGCATACTGGGTCGCATGAAGAGAAATGTGGCCAGCAGGCTGAGAGGTAATTCTGCCCCTCTGCTCTGGTGAGATCTCACCTGGAGTGCTGCATCCAGGTCTGGAGACCTCAACATAAGACAGACACAGACCTGTTGGAATAGGTCCGGAGAAGGGCCACAAAAATGATCAGAGGTCCTCAAGGACCGCCCCTATGAGGGCAGGGCAAGAGAGCTGGGATTGTGCAGCCTTCAGAAGTGAAGGTTCCACAGAAACCTATAGTGGCCTTCCGGTACTTAAAGAGAACCTTATCAGAAAGATGGGGACAATCTTTTTAGCAAGGCCTGTTGCAACAAGACAAATGGTTTTAAACTACAAGAGAGCAGATTTAGACCAGATATAAGGAAGAATTTTCCTACAACGAGGCTGGTGAAACACTGCAACAGGCTTCCCACGCAGCTGGTTTCCCAGGCCCCATCCCAGGAGACATTCAGGGTCAGGCTTGATGGGGCTCTGAGCAACCTGATCCAATTAAAGACGTCCCTGCTCACTGCACAGGGGCTGGACTAGACAACCTTCAATGGTCCCTTCCAACTCAAACCATTCTATGATTCTATGAAAAATAAATGGAAAAAATAGAAATGGAGTTTTTACCCTGACAATAGCTACAACTTGACTAAATCCTTTGGGCCTTGAAAAAATCTTTTTCAGTTATCAATTCTTTCCTGACTATACGGTCTGTCTTAAAATAATCTATAAAGCACAGCTAAACAAGTTCATTTAAACTCCTGAGGGAATAATTACAAGCAGTTAGACAGAAACATTTTGGTTTCAAATCTACAGATTTAGTTTTATTATAAACATAAATATGCCCTCATGATAGGTCAACACAATTCTAATAGAAAAGAACAGTGGTTTAGTGACCATAATCTCCAGAGAACTGAGATGTTTTGCAGATTTCAATTCACAAATAGTCTCCATGACCTTCAGCAGCCAAATTTTAAATTACATGAAGCACATTTCATTCTTAAATTAAAATCGCAGGCATGTAAATGCTACATCTATTTTTAAAAGCAATTCCAAAACCTGTGGTTTGTGATTGCAACAGTTAATTATCAAGATGCCTGGACCAATACATAGTGAATCCTGCATCATTAAAACTAGTGCATGCTGGTTAACCCAGACATACTTTCTGAGCTCACTCATCAGATCACAAGATGTTCATCACAGAGCCAAACTTACATCTTCCTTGAGGACAAATACGTTTTATTTGTCTAAAGACAAATTCACCTCAGGGCACGAAAGAAAAATACAGTTGGCACCACTTTACAACAGTGATGACCATCAAGGAAAACTGGATGGTAATCAATTTACTTACACTGATCATTTCGTAAAAAATATTAATATCTAAGAACATTTAATTCATCTGGAGATGAACTGTAATAGTATAACTAAATCAAAACCAATGCTTAGGACACTTGGTAAATTCCAGATAATAAATGCTGGCATTTGTTGCCATTTACTGCTACAATTTACTAAGCATGGAAAATTTCTTTTAAAACGCAGGCACTTACTGGAGTTTATTTTAAATGTATAAAAAAGTAAAAACACACAGAATAAATTTTTTTTACTCCTTTGCTGATTTTTTTTAACACCATCACCATCATCTCACTTTTTTATTATGAATATTTACAGATCTAGGCAAAGTCACACACTTGCCCTTGGAAAGCTACAAGATAACATAAAAGGTAAGACAGGCATGAAAGTAAATAAACTACAATTCTGTGATGTGCAAGTGATATCTATCATCCTTTTCTACTTCAGCATTCAGCCTTCATTTTATTACTTCATATTTCTATGTATTCTAGTTTTTCATTTCTCAGACTTTCTCATTAAAGTAATCAGGTCCTTAAAGAAAATTCTATTGTCATCAACTTCTTCTAAGTTCCAGTAGATTGTTCACCCATCCATCTCTACTCAATTCCCTATGTTCTCTCCTCTCCCACTCTTCTCTGCACAGACGAAATTGCACAGTACATTCTGCTATTCTCTGGCATTGTTTTCCTGTAGTCTTGCCCAAATCTGCCACCAGCTAGAAAGATAAACTTTCCTTCTGGAAACTCTTGACTCAGAGCAGAATGCAGTGACCTTTCGGGGAAAAAGGGAATTAATATGGACAATATATGTAGCTTAGTTTCACACAGTGTTCCCAGAGAGGAAGAACTAGCTCAGATATTAAAAAATTGTATTTTAAAGAAATGTTTTTAAATATAGAAAATGCTGGTTCTAGTGTACAAAAAGCAAAGCTGCAATTCTGGATTTACAGTCCTAAGAACATATAGTAAGAGATATTCAAAATGAATTAAATTATATTCTCATCCTACATATGAATTCAGAAAAACAACAGAGTTGTCTGTTACCAGGCAAGCCTTTTTAACTACCTGGTAAATCTGCAGAATCTAGTTTTAGAAAAAAAAATAAGAAAATATAAAAAAAAACCACCTCAGACTTTGGAGACTTGATTTCTGCTTGGTTCATGGTAGAGTACATGATGCTCCCCGGAAGAGAAACTATGGAATATTTTGCTCTCTTCTCCCTCAACATGAATGATACTATTAACACACAGTTTGCAGTCTCTCAAGACTAACTGCTTTCTGCATTTTAGAGGCAGGGACACCAACCTAAACATAACTGTTTCATAAGTTTTAATTTATCTCCTAGATGACTCTAAGAAGAACACAGGGGCAGAGGAGGAATAATGTCTATTGTGGAAAGTGTCCATTTATTTCAGGTGCACTTTGCTTTACACACACATCATTCATTGATGTAATTCACTGCCTGCTTTCATAAATCATATCTATGTACATAATATCTATGTTTTAAGAGTCACAGGCTTGGTCAAATGATGCGTAATGCAGATAGTCAGTCTGATTTAGAGAGAACTGGACTCAAGAAGTGTGGGGTGGACACGAACTAGCCTGTAACAGCCTCAGAGAATGGTCCCTTCTCAACTCCTCCCTGTTTCAGAGAACAGCTATAACTACAGAAAACTTTTAAGACTTCACAGTCATCCTTAATTCTGTCTTCTCTTGGCTTCTAAATACTTGTTAATTTGATGTTCTTTTAAGACAGTTTTCTAAGTGTTACACCTAGACAAAAAGACATAACATCAAAATACAGAGACGTCCAAAATTTAGATTTGCCTACAGCTTTGACGTAAAGCCTATGCTTTGATATAAGAGTAAATATGGCTCTACATCACCTAGAGTTTTCATGGATCAAATATACTGATCAAGTCTTTATCAGTACATGCACTACAATTGAGCTACACCAACTACAGTAAGAGGCAGGAAAATGTTGATGCCTTTGACTTGTTCACAGTTTCTCCCAAAGTCACTATGCAATTCTTTTTACCTCATACATAATTAAAAAAAAATTCTACACTAATACTCCTCACATTTTATATCTTATTACCCACTGATGTAGAGCAAAATATCTCTTCTAAGGACAGAGTCCAAATAAATAGAAACTCACTAACAGAATTATAATGAATCTTACAGAAATAAACAAAACCATGCAGTGGTTTAATTTCAAAAAGTTTTCCCAATAACTAGATTTATATTAGCCAAATTTTCCTGCTACTGCCTCTGTCTCTACAACCTTTGTCTCCCTTTTCTTTCTTCCTGATTCAGTTTCTTTTTAGAATTGTGTCTTCTTTTGGCATATGGCAAAAGGTGTTTCATAAACTAGGGGGAATAGCAGGTACTCATATGGAGGAAGCAGATAAAGGTTTTAACATGAATTACAGCTACAATGAAATATGTACTCCCTAGGCACAGAGCTCAGTGAAAATAAGTGACCATAGTAAATGTTTTAACCTAGAGAAGTGCCTACTCTTTCAGAGCAAATTATTTTTCCTATTGTATATATGTCTGTGAAATGACAATGAGCAGCATGACAGAAGTTTCATGGCTAAAATCTTGTCTCTACCTAAATCATTGGGAGTCTTCCCATGACTTTAAAAAGATGATTAACTCACTGCCATCATAAAAATAGGATCTAGCAGTACTTGTAAAGTTCAGATACTCAACAGAACTGGTTCTTTTTAGCTCACTCTAGGACAATTTGGAACCATCTTCTTCAATGATCTAGGCACTTCCTCTCTTTATGCTTCTTTAAAATGTTCTTTTTTCTACCAAACTCACTATTACTAAAATAGTAAAGCAATTTTTCACCCAGGAATCCAACAAATGAACAATAAAAATATTGGAGAAAGCTGGCAAGTTCCTCTATTTTGTTTTAAAACTTTCTCTATTCAGCACCACAGAAGAGAATTTGTGCTGTCCTTTGTGTATTACGTATGGCTAAGCAAACAGCTGTATTTAAATAGCAAACAACTAGTAACAGCCACAGCAGGTTCCGGCAGAAAGATAAGTCATGATCATTCTAAACATGAATACCTCCAGAAGCCAGGAATAATAATAAAAATAAAATTAAAATAAAAAAGGACAAATATTTGGTCCAAAGTTTCTTTATAAAAATACGGTGGCTTCCTCTTGCTATGGGCAGTGCATAATGCAGTAGAAAACTGAAATTCTGAGGTGGATTTGAAGCACTCTCCCGTATCTTCTGAAACAGAGGTTATGTTGGGCAACTCCAGAGAGAAGAAAGATACTGTTCACACAGCACTTCTACTCACCAGTTCTTGCAGCAGCAACGGTGTTGGCTTTGAAGGAAGCCAACTGTCCTGCTCTCCCAGCCAGAGGTAAAGAATTGCATTGGTGGCCACTAGAGGGAGGATTAGGAATAGAGTAAATTGTGGGCAAAAGGCACCCATGGTGAATCACATGGGACAACCTACGAATCCCCACTGCCGCCAAAGGGCAACGATTCTCAGATAATGCTATGGACTGGGAAGTGTAATCCAGTTGTTATCATCTGCTACAAAGGAGTGCCAGTATGCATCCTAAACGTTGGTGGCTGGAGGATAGGAGGACTGACTAGGATCATGTGAAGCATACCTACAAACGCACAAAGACACATCCCTTTATTTACAGTTGCTTTATTTGCTTTCTGGGTTTTATTCTCCTTACTTCAAACTTCTGATGTCCTTTATCAAGAAAGTTCCTGTGAAAAGCAAACATACCAGCTTCAAGAGCATCTCAGAAGAAGCATCAGCAGAGACACACACGTGGTGCCAAGATACACTGTATTTAATAAAAACATCTGAACATATTAAATGTACTTAAAAACAACAAAATTCTTTGTGATAAAATGAATACTCTTTCACTAAATTAAGTTTTGAGGCATCTCTGAAACAAATGTTTTCCATTAGTTACCTAGATAATTATGTAGTAACGTGCATCTTGCAATTCAGTTTACCCTGTACCTTGACTGCCTGGTGTCTTACCTCCAGCACAAGTGGCAGAACATTCTGACCAGGGCAGATGATTCCATGCAAAGCCAACCTCATTGTCTCCACTGCCAGTGCGAGAGATGGGAACATTGAATTTATATCTTATACCCAAATTTTGTTCCTGTAGCAGAATCTGTAGTTGAAAACAACTGGTTATACCATTAAAACAGGCAAGCAGAGGGCAACTACAGTGACATTTAATCTAGGTACGTGCTGTTTCTTGTGGAAAAGGCAAAGGTAATAAAGGAAGCCATAGTAATTCTCTCAGGTATTCCTAAAAGAATTTGGACTAACTTTTAAAACGTATACAAAAGAAAAGTACTACTGTCTAAGGTGAGCTTTGTCTTTTTCTCCCCCTTAACATGAGTTTATAACTTCTGTCACAAGTGTTCTAAAAAGCTAGTTGTCATAAAATTAATGTCTTAATAAAAATTAACTTGACAGCTGAATGATTATGTGAGGTCAAAGTTGGTTAACTGTACAAACACCAGAAGCCCTCACTGAAATCTTGTGAGGAGCTACCCACAGAGCAGGTTGGACCCTATCTCTGCCCTTGTTTGCATTTCTAGTGACTGTAATAATAGTAATACTAGTAATAGCAACAGATTGTTTTGCTGAGGCCATTGTTTTCTCCTAAGGCAATAGTCAAGACTATTAGCTTGGTGGAATCACACCTGTAATTCCTTTAAAGAAATACCAGAACTCTCACTGCAGCCATACGACTGCAGGTGATACAGATGGAAGTTTAACAGTCACCATGAGTTTTTGTCTGCCCTCACTGCTGAACTGCACTTCCATGTACCACCTGTCCAACACTAGCCTTTAACTCTCTATCAAACTTCTTCTTTCTGGTGCTAATAATATATTTCATGTTAGATGCAGTAATCTGGCACATCTTAGAGCTACTTTTCTCATCTTCTTCAACCTTCTGAAATATTTTGCAGAGACACACCTGCCTATCTCCATTGGACAAAAGAGCAGAGAACGTCCAGTAAGAAAGTCACTGGCACTAACTGAAGAGAAAATGCAGTATAATTATTGTGTAACTGATTCTATATGGACTCTCCAGCTTATGCACACCTACAGAAGAAAAAACAGGATTCAGGTGTTAACATGGGTAAAAATATGATATTCTTCCTGTTGTAAGAGTATACTTCACACTCAGGCCAGGTTTAAAACCATTGGCATCCACAGTACACTTAGGAATTGTCAAGCTGTATCTCAACACTGCCATGTATCATGAGTATGCAGAGATAAAGTGTACATCCTATCTACCTACTTTTTCAACTATCATTATTCTGAATGAAATTTAAAAGAGATGGGTCATTTTCTGTCAGATATCCTGGGGCTCTTCTGACTTTATCCCTGTTTCATCACATGTGCCAATCAGTTTGAAAAGGTAGAAAGCTGTGTTAAAACAGAAAAGCAAAGTCCTAGCTATGCAGACTGTACACTCTTTGAAAACACATTTTCATTTCATTCATGAGTTTGTGTTTTCTCAGAACACACATACATATTTCACATTTTAGACATATATTAATTATTGCTTTACCATGACTATGAGATTTTCTGAAGTAGGGCCTAGAGCTTCCAAAGACTCTGGTTCATCTGTTGGCCTCTTGTAATGGAAAGCTGTTCCAGCAACATCAAACTTCCTTGGCCAGTCAATAGTCCAGGCACCATTAATATAGTAGTCATCTTCTTCAGATTTTAAAGCTTAAAAAAAAATACAAGCCACCTAAAAATTGGAAGTAGCATTTATAATGGAGAAGCCACTGCAAATTAATTTACTACTCTGTTAGAAGGATGTGAGCTTCAGCTCAATATCATTATTTTTCCAAGCAATATAAAGCCTTTTCTCTAGCCCTGGTCAAAAGACCCCTCATGTAGTTTGACAATACTGTCTCTGCAATAAACTTCAATGTTTAGGTATTCTTTGCAGATGTCAAAATGCAGATGCTATATGGAACAAAACAGAATGCCTCCTGCAATATGCAATATATCTTCAGTTTTAAAATTAAGCCCATGCGCAATGTATGCTGTTATACATAAGACGTCTTAAATGTATAATCAATTATTAATCGAATATTCAGAATAAGAAGTTGGAGCAAGAGATAGGTATCTTAGTTAATATACAGGGGGGAAAAAAGAGAAAGAACATCAAGTTTGACATAGTGCCAATCAGCTTTTGCTTTGTTGCCTTTGTCCACTGGGTTTTTTTCCTTCTTAAAGCATAAATCCAAGATATTTCTACTACAAAACCAAACACTAGGTACTTAATCCACTAAAACATTTTATTAATCCTAATTTACAGCCTTAAACCATAAAAGTACTGTAAACAAAACAAACTTGTTACCTAACCAACCAATTCAGGAATTCAGGAATTAATATTTTATGTTTTATTAATAAGTTTCTAAATATCAAACTAATTTTGTATCTTAAGGTGAATATTGCATTAATTAGATATTGATTTCTTGACTTATAAGGTGAATATGCTGTTAATTGGATATTGAGTTCTTAAAGACTACCAAGTTATTCAGCATTCTTATTTACCTCAAATAAAACATGTTCTCAGAGGCAACATGCTAGCTGGAGATACATGATCAAGTTTTTTTCTCAATAACATCTGTGTGAACAGATGGTTTACCTTAAGCAGGGAAATTGTCTCAATGATGCTCGAATTTTCTAAAACAGATCAGACATCATTATATGAGCAGGAGGCAGTCAGAGAGGCAATACTGTTCTTTTGGTGACAGCCATATTCAGCAGGGATTAGCAACCATTTTCATCAGCACCATAACGTCTGAAAAGGAATGTCTTTCTGTGGCATGAATCTTACTCCATTGACTTCCCTGGATTTACTTTGGGAACACTCCTGTGCTTTGACTGAAGAAACAAGCTCTGACACATTCCCTTATCTGGAGTTCTCAAAGTAATTCAGATTCATTATTGTCTATATAGGTTTTTTGTGGTACAAAATGTGACTATAGGAGAGCAAGACAAATTGCAAGCAGTACTCCACTAAAAGAAAGTAACAGTACTTGACTGTTTATCTATTTTACATGCATATATGAAAGAACTGTGTTACAGCCAAACACTAGTATTTTGTTTTATCAGTTTTCCTGTTTCCACGTAGCTGAAATTTCCATCCATCCTGCTTTTACAAAATCTAGCTTAATTAAAAGAAGGCTGCAAGGTCTCCCAAAGCTGCACAGTTGCATAATGCTATTAGCACATGAGACAGAGGAACTAATTAACATCCTAATCAAATCATTTATGAGAACTTGGAAAGGCAGGAAGCCCACAGAAAATTAGCAGGGAAGACCCTGTTGCATAAAGGGTATATATACAATGGAAGATGTCACCCTTGATCAAGCCATGTAAGGGAATCTAACAGCATTACTTAACACAATTTTTTCAACAGCTCTGAAAACAGGCAATTTTGTTGCTGGGTTATTTGCTGGACAGATCACGTTAACATTCTAAGTTTGTGCAGCTGCAGAAATGTTCTTTTGCTGCCACAACACTACAAGTGATAACAGTGCAGAAGTGATCAGCCAGAGGCAAGGAGAGGGAGGACAGGTGCTGCTTGCGCTAACTGAATTGCCAAATGTCTAACTATAGCATAAATTTGAGGCCAGGGCTTGAAAAAGAACTGGATCTTTATTTAAGGAACCATGCCACGTTTGTTGCAAGTTAGTTTCAAAGTCTGCTGACTGAAAGGAACAAAGAAGAAACTCTGAAGACAGTGTGACAGCTACAGAGGAGGGCTGTGTTTTTCAATTTTGTTATATACTCCCAAACGGAAAAAACCCGATTTCTTAAGACTGTGGTCATGTGTTTGGCAGTAGTGCTCATAAGACAAAATATAGAAATATGTGTAAATGGTTATTTTCTGCTGAATCAGTTCTCCAATTTAGTTCATGGGCTGGCCACACAAACAGTTGTCCTGGAACAATAGAGGGAACTCCATGAAGACAGGGAAGGACCTGTGAATGTAACACTGACACCAAAAAAATATCCATAAAACAATACCCTTGAGGTATTTATTCTAGAGAATCATAGAACTGTTTGGGTTGGAAGGGACCTTAAAGATCACCTAATTCCAACACCCCTTCCATGGTCAGGGACACCTCCCACTAGATCAGGCTGCTCAGAGCCCCATCCAGCCTGGCCTGGAACATCTCCAGGGAGGGGGCTTCCACAGCTTCTCTGGGTGACCTCTTCCAGTGCCTCACCACCCTTACAGAAAAGGATTTCTTCCTAATATCTAATCTAAACCTACCTTCTTTCAGTCTGAAACCATTACCCCTTGTTCTATTTCTACACTCCCTGATAAAAGGTCCCTCCCCAGCTTTCCTGTAGCCCCCTTCAGGTACTGGAAGCCTTCTCTTCTCCAGGCTGAACAACCTCAGCTCTCTCAGCCTGTCCTTCTAGGGGAAATGCTCAAGGACCACTCAAGCAGGTCCATGTCTTTCTTACACTGGGTGCCCCAGAGCAGAACACAGTACTCAAGGTGTGGTATCACAAGACCAGAGGGGCATAATGAGTAATAAACTCATTTTTAACTATCATTGTGCTTGTATAGTTCCATGTGCTTGTATAAGGGATCAGCTTTCCTTTCCACAGACACTGGTGATCCTAAATGAGTGATCTGGTTTTCACTCACAGAACAAAACATCCAACCACAAAATAAAATGGTCCCTATGACTTAATAAGACTGTTTTTCACTCGGATACAATGGCACCTTTAAATTAGCGAAGGAGAGGAATCCCCCATTTGTGTAGTCAGGACTTCTGTGGCATGAAGCAACATAGTGAGGAGAGAGCCTGAAACTCAGGAAACTACTCGAAATTGTGACAAGCGTATAATAATACTTTACATTTTTAGATCTGTGGTCAGATTAAATTCCAACGAAATTGGTTCTTTTTATATTATTTTAAATTAAGCCCCAGATTTACATTTTTCATTCCTTTTATAGAGATGTTGCCAATCTGAATACTTTTCCCTATCACCTTCCCCTGCTTATAAAACAGAGGAATAACAAAGTTAATTGCAGTAGCTAAGAGTTACCTTCTTTGTTCTGTTTCTCAGCTGTCCACAGAATAGTTCTAAGCAGAAAATGACCATGATAGGATGCATTGTATGCCTCTCTCCCACCACCTGTTTGAAATGTCAGTATGGGATATATGAGCAACCTTATCTGCAGTATATTTTGACATGTGTGAAGGGCCATGGGGAGCGTGATGCTGAAAGAATAATAAGGACTTTACTGATGGAGTAGTGGTGTTATGCAGATTCAATCTCCCTGCAGAATGGAGGCAGACTGATTATCTGCTGAATTACAGAAGTGTGGGGGCAGGCAGAAAGAGAAGTAGGCATCCAACAGTAAAAGTTACCATTTTATCAATACAATCAGTTTAGAAATTAATGTACCTAGAAGGAAAATTGTCCTTTTAACTCACACTTAAAGTTATCATAATCCCTTCCACGTTTATGTTAATATATATGTCAACCACACAGAGCACAGACTGACAAAAGTAGCCTCAACAGCGGCTGTTCAGCCTAAACAAGTAATAGTGTTTGGTAGTGTTAATCTCTTAGTTTGCTGTACAACTAATCAGGTCTCTAATCTATTTTTTTACTAAGAAATGGTGTTCTTGCACTACTGCAAACTGACTTCTATGCAAATCAGCATATAGACACTTCTAAGAAACACATGATGTATTGAGTTTGATGAAGCTAGATTTGTACAAATCAGTATTAAAAAAATAGACAGAAAATTTAATACAGTCTTTAAAAAAGGAATAACAATCCGGGGATTTGGATCTAATTCTGTGCTTTACAACAGGCTTCTCGAATTATCTCAATAAGCACCTAGGTTTTTTGCACCTCATTCTCCTTATCTATAAATCAGGGATGACATCAAGTCCCTACAACACCACAGCACATAAACATTGTGGAATTAGTACATTAAATTCTCTTAAGAAGACAGTATTGTTAGCACTTAGGTAACTAAGTTGGCTGTTGATAAATAATCACTCCAAGAACATAATCATGTTTTAAAACAGTATAATCCTCCAGGGTCAGTGATTTCCCAGATGGAAGACAGAATGGGACAGTAGATCACCTAAGTGTTCCTAACACACTTCATCTCAAGTTTAACCCTGTAACTATAGCGAAGTTGACCTGATTTTGCACCTAGTGGACAATGAATCTCATGTATTTCACTAAATCCATTCAAAGGAATATACATCCTAACCAGCTGCTGCAACTCTCTGAGGGCAACCTAATATTAACAGCTAATAATTCCCTCTGCTGCTTCTACTTTGTGTCTGGTTTGTCTAAACCAGAAAACATATCTTCATATCACAATGTAAACTCTGATTAACAGGCTGCTATTTAAACCATGCTCTTACCAATGTAGTTCTTTGACATCGCCACTTCTCTTATTTCAATGTGCACAGAACCTCTTGGAATCTGAATCACTTCCATATAGCCTATAAGAGAAAGGTAAATTTTTTCTGTCATTGTTTACATTAAGCAATATTAGTCATTAAACTAACTATTCATACATTATTTACTATAAAAAATAGTATGAGATATGGGATTCAGATGTACTTGAACATTTTCTTTCATGTCACATAAAGGAAAACATTTTAGATTTCATACAAAAATCTGAAAGAGATAGCAAGTCAGGCATTCCTTTTTTATGGGCTAATAAAGTCTTTTCAATAGTGTATCATAAGCAATTAACATATAAAATGACCTTAGGATTATAGGAAAATTAAGGTTGGAGAGGACCTCAGACAGTCATTTAGTACAACTTCCTGCTACAAGCAGGATCAGCTAGGAGATCAGACCAAGTTACTCAGCCTTGTATCTTGCTGAGTCATGAAAAACTCCAAAGATGGAACCTTTACGGGCAACCGGATTCATTGCGGAACTGCCTTGAGGAAAAAGCTTTTCCTTCCATTTGGCCAGCACCTGTCTGGTTTCAATTTACAGTCATTGTCTCTACCCACCACTGTGAAAAGTCTGGCTCTGCCTTCTCCATAACCTCCTCAGAGGTATTGGAAGGCTGATACTAGGTTCCCCAAAACCTTCTCCAGGCTAAGGAAGGCCAGTACTCTCAGCTTCTCCTCACAGAGTGACAAGCGCTGCAGACCCCAGTGATCACTGAACTGCCTCACTGAACTGAACTCATTCCAGTGCCTCAGTCCTTTTTCCACATTGAGGAGCACAAAACTGGTAACTCTAAGATTGCAACACTAATACTGTCTTTTTTAAGCTAATCTTTAAACTAATTGCCTGTGTATATTTCCTGGGTTCTTAATAAAATGAACTTAAGAGACATTTCTGAACTCATTCTATTCTAAAATTTCATGTATGACTAAGTACTAGATTCTGCCATACACATTAAAATCATACACAACTCTACTTACTACACCACCAAAACTAACAATTTTTAAAAATCTACCGTCTTCTTTTTAAGTCCATCAAGGACCAAAAAACCTAAATACTCAGTAATGAAACATACCATTGTATTTGAGACAAATCGAAACTAACACAGAAAAAGGAAACAACAAGGCAAAAGGATCAAAGGGAATGACCAATAGCAATGCCATGCTGGAAATCATTGAAGTAGTGTTATTTGTTAAAGAGTCATAGAACCAAAGAATCACCGAATGGTTTGGGTTGGAATGGACCTTAAAGATCTAGGCCCAACCCCTCCTGCTATGGGCAGGGACACCTCCCACTAGACCAGGTTGCTCAAAGCCCCATCCAGCCTGGCCTTGAACACTGCCAGGGATGAGGCATCCACAATTTGTCTTAGCAACGTGGTAGAATGGACAAATACGTGCATACCTCCTCTGGGCAATGAATCATTGAAGAAACCTTCAATGGCTTCACATGTGCTCCCATCTCCTCCACAAACACGGCATCTATCTTCCTTGGCATCAGACCCCAAAATATTATCACAACCTACATGCTGAGAACAGATAAGAAAAAATGTTTTAACAGGACAATGGTCTTCAACCACCATATTCATCATTTTTTTGAAGTTTTTTTCTCAAGTTTGAGATATTCAATTGTTCTTCTTAACTACTCTGGTTTTGATAGCTCTTACTGTAAGTGAGTTTTCACTTGCTAGAGAAAGAAAATAAAAAAGAACAACCCACATATTGGGTTGTTACCAAATCTTGATTAAAAAGTACTTTGTATTTCTATGATGACTTTCAGGAAGGGATCTCACAGCATTTTACAGACAGTGTAATTACTACAGTTATCAACAGGTGATTAGTGATGTTTTTATTTAATATTACAATATCTGTGTACCATCTATATTGCTTTGTTAACGTAAACATTTGATGTGTGTTCCTTAAACATTTGTGCAGCATAAATACTATTATTGTTCCCAAACATATTTAGAGCTTTATAGACCATATTTCCACATCCTTCAGACAAAACTTGCAATTATTTTCTTAAGTTTGAATGTAAAGTGTAAATGACTTCACTGTAAGAAGGAATGCAGAATGAAATTTAGTAAAAGGCTGAATTATATGATGTATTAGGTAGGATTCAACAGCCTTTGGAAAAAAGAAGCATATATAACTAACTATAAAAAGCATATTACATTTCTGATTATCTGCTTGAGAAATCTATGCATAGTGAATAGTTAACTCCCCTTAACTTACTGATTCAACTTGATTACAAAACTAAAGAAAATAGAGACAAGGTGTGTCCTTAAAAAAAAGAAGAGAATGAACAGGTAGGTTGTAAACAGAATGACCAATTCTGTTTGCAGCTTGCCAATTTTTTCCAAGATTTCTGCAAAAATGGAGGCAGTTACATAATCTTCTTTACTGCCTAGCAATATGATCTACCATGTTGTAAGCAGGTAATACATAGGTTCTAAGAGAAGTTAAAATGCTTTAAATTAATTGACAAAATAGTATTATTCTAACCATGCCTTTCTGATTCACCAAGAAGACAGAGGCCCAACTTTATCACATAGTTCATTCCCAACTAGAGATTTAGTTTCATTATTGGTTTTAAAAGATTTCTCAAAACTATCAGCATCTTACGTATAAAGTACAGCAGAATTGCACAGGTTTTTTCTTGTGGGTTTTTTGGGGTTTTCTTGTTAGTTTACAAACACATGGCTAATGCTTTTGATCTTACGTTATTATGCTAAATTGAAACAGCAGTGGGATGCATGTAACCAAAAATATGCCACAAACCTCCAAGTCTCTTAAAATTCATGTAATGCACTTCTACAGCAATCTTACAAGATAACCAGGTTTCTAGTAAATGGCAAACACTTGTATCATATACTTTTTCCTAGAACTATAGAGCACTAATGAAAACTTTCTGCCTCAATTAAGAGCAGAATTAATTGCAACAGGATGAACTAGTTAGAAAGAAACAAATTAACAGGTTCACATTTATTGTTTTTCAGTCTGAGTGGTGTTCTAATTGGAATGATGGAACAGGCCTTGGAATAGGGCAATGAATCTCTTAACCTCCCGTTGCCTTTTGCACTGAATCTTCAACAGAAACCATAGAGTAAGATTAAATCAGAAAAAAAAATGAAAGATTCTATGAATGTCTGTGAAAAACTATTGAAATTGATCTGTCTCATTTATGCAATGACTATCCTTTTGTGTCAATCTTACTCTTTTATTAACAACTTGACCTGTCAACAGCCTCACTTCACATAAGTAACAAGTGCCATAATTAAATGTAGCAGACAGCAGATACAAAAAGTAATCTAGAAGTACTTGATAAAACATTTGTAACCTTGCATTCTCCATTGATACAGATATCCAGTGAATCAGCATTGCACTGAGTCCCATCTATTACTGCAGGAGCACGTTCAGTGTAAAAATTATATCCCTCAGCCAAGCAGTTTAGTGCACATGGTTTAACCCCACCTGGACAACAAAAACAAATGAAGAAAAAATCCACAACAGAAGTCTTGAAAAATTAACAATTAGTTAAACATAGATATGCATAAACAGATCCAAAAATTACAAACTTATCTCATATCTGATATTCATAATGTATACACTTTATTGAAAATTCCCTTTATTGATTTCTCTATTTGATGCTTCTTTCTTACAAAAGAATATTTTCCATAGTAAATATGTAAAGGTTGGCTGGCTCCATAAGGATTCCATTAAGTTAACATAAACCTAGTGATCAGTGAATAATTTAAAATAATAAGGATATCACTTCTCTATTTGAAAGATGTAACAACAAAAATTGAAATCAGGCTATTTCAATTAGGAGTTTAGTCTTATTGAATCACATTACAGCTCGGACCATGTGATCACAATGATCCTTTTAATCTAAAAACTATGAGTACAGTCATTCAAACTGAAAAAAAAAAACCCAAACAAAAAACATAAGGAAGAAGATGGACTTATTTGCTCAGGGCTCAAAACAGAAGTAAAAACAAAATAATACAATCTACAAATATTGAATGACAGAAACATAAGTAAACCTGATTAAACTGTCTCAAAGAGAAAAAAAACCACAATCGCCTTCTCTGCTGCAAAAATACCATTTTGCTGCACAGTGCAACTATTTATAATTCAATTACTGAAGTGGTCTTTGGAGAATCCTCTAAATCTTTTTACTCCTTTTTCCTTCTCCTAATATTTTGACCTCAAGAAAGAGAAACATCTTGTGAGATTGTTTTTTACACTGAACCATCACTAGCATGAAAGATCACATCTGGATTCTAGTTGTAGCGCTACTGCAGGTGAAGTGCCCTGAATTTTTAAAGTGGAGGCTCTAGAGTGATGTCCACTCACCTTCACAGTAGAACAACTCTACCAGAATAGAGACAGCTCTTCAGCAACATTTTTCAGCAACTGACAAAAAGTAAAAGCTTAGCAAACTTAGCTCATTATATTTTAACTGAAACATCCTATTTACAAACATCACTCTCAATAAAACAATTACATAACTCTGAAGACTTCACATGTGATAACATTTTTTGCAAAACTAACCATTACCTCCAGTGTAGGGTTTCCAGTTATAATACTTTCCCCGGAAAGGCATATTGTCAAAATCCGCACATTGCTTTTCTCGAAAATCACGGGCCCCTGAAGGACACGGCTAAAATAATAAAGACAAAAAGAAAAGTCTAGTTCTTCCACGTATCAACATAAAAGGAAATGCTTATATACCTATACAGCAAACATAATCATGCAAGAGCCCTGGAGGTGGTTCTGTGCTTTATCTCATGGATTTTATTTGAATCCCACTTTCTGGCTTTACAGTTGATCTATCTATTTTGAAATCTTAGGCTGTCATGAAGTAACTGAAGTAATTTAAACAAAGGTAAGTGTTACATAACAGTTTCCATAAAACTGGTCTATTAGAATCACGTCAAACTATGCTTCAAAAGCAACCCATCAGCTACTTCCTTATAAACACACATTAAAAACAGCTGAAAATATTAAACAAAAATAATTTTGTTAAGAGCTGTGGGCTCAGTTGTACTGTACTAAGCAGCTGTATTGAGATGTGTTAATAAGACATCATGAAAATAATTAAAACAATTTCTAGAAAGCTGTATTATCCCTGCTTACTTGTAGCCTTGACAAAAGCATTAAGGCTGAGAATGAGCTCTGATTTTTACCAGTTTCCGAGCTTGAAAAAACAAAAACTGTCTTCATTTAGATTTTCTATATTTTGCATTATTAATTACAAAACTGTAAAGTATCATTTTTACTTGTAATAAGGGCAGATATAAGTGAAATTCACCTGGGAAAGAATTATAGGAGAAATAGAATTCTTTGCTATTTGTCACATTGTTCACAAGCATGTTCAAAATAATACTAACAACTTATCTCGAATATACCCAGATACTAGATAGGACATTAAACGTTATCGATGTTTAAGTATCTGCTGAAATGTCAAGCTTCATCAGAAAAAAGTACTTGAAACACAGAGTAAAATAAATTTTAGAATGAAAGAGAAAATAATTTGTTTGACAGAAATGAGAAGTGTTGATAAACATTACAATTTTATGAGCAACTGAAGAGACCATTTTATGGCAGTTTCACTTGTCTTCCTATGTATCAAAGCCATTGAGCATTGTTCACGAATCTGAAATGCATTCAAGTGAAAGAGTCTCTACAAACATGGATGATAAAAATGCACTGCAAAATGCAAATGCTAACATGATAATCATGATTCTCAGTATATACAAACCAAGCTCTTATAACAGCTAGCCCTTTGCAATATGATACAGAAACTTGAAAATTTTTCTCCAATTTTGAAGCTCTTGCAACATAAAATAGTAGACATTAGTGTTTAAATCTTAAATTATCTCTCTAAATCACTCTATTAAGATTCTTCTAATTAAATACACATTTTAATAGTAAAAAATAATTTTAAAAGGTTTTTTTTAACATTAACACAAACTATATATATTTGTGTCATATTCTTTAAGCACTATCAGTTTTGAACCACCTCAACATAGCTACAGCTTGAGTCTGAATCTCTTGGATACTGGTCATTACACCTCGTTCTTTAATCCCACTTGCTTAGGTACTAATTTACAAAGCTGGTATTTTAACTTGCACCAAGTTCCCCTTACAAAGTAATTAATTAATTAATTAATGGAGAAGAGGAGACTCAGAGGCGACCTCCTCACTTTCTACAACTATGTGAAGGGAGGGTGCAGTCAGGTGGGGGTCGGGCTCTTCTCCTGGGCAACCAGTGACAGGATGAGAGGGCACGGCCTGAAACTGTGTCAGGGGAGGTTTAGGTTGGATCTCAGGAAACACTTCCTCATGGAGAGGGTGCTCAGGCATTGGGATGCACTGCCCAGGGAAGTGGCAGAGTCACCGTCCCTGGAGGTGTTTAAGGAGAGGCTGGATGTGGCACTCAGTGCCGTGGTCTAGTCAATGTGTCATAGGCTGGACTTGATGATCTTAGAGGTCTTTTCCTGCCTTCCACCACCCTACCAAAATACTTTCGCTAAAGTTACACTGGAACAAAACAATAAAATATGAAGATCAGTAAAAAAAACCCGTGCTATCTGATCTTTAAGCTGTAGTCTTACTTCTCATCTGATAGTGATCTTGGATGTATTCTGAGGCAATAATATCACTTCATGAATGATCTGGATAATGGGGAAGCGTACACCCTCAGCAAGTTTGCTTGGTAACACAACCAAGGAGGAGTGGTTGATAAGCCAGAGCATTGCGTCACCATCCAGAGAGACCTTGACAGACTGGTTCCTCCACACAGGAATCTCATGAAGTTCAAGAAGTGGTGCGAAGTCTTGCACCTAGGGAGGAATAACATCATGTCCTAACACATGCTGAGGGCCAATCAGCTGGGAAGGGGCTTTGCAGAAAAGGACCTGGGGGCCCCAATGGACAGCAATGTGCTCTTGAGGCTAAGGCGGCCAATGGTATCCTGAGCTGCAACAAAAGTGCAAATAGCAAGTTCATGGGGTGATTTTTCCCCTCTACTCAAAACTGGTGAGGTCACACCTATAGCATTGTGCTCAGCTCTGAACAGTCAGCTCAGAACAAGGGAGACATGGTCATACTGGAGAGAGTCCAATGAAGGGCCGCAAAGGGCCTGGAGCACCCTGACTATGAGAGAGCTGGGACTGTTAAGCCTGGAGAAGAGAAGGCTCAGGGGCAGGATCTCACCAGTACGTACAAATACTTGAAGGGAGGGTTTAAAGAGGATGGAGCCAGGCTCTTTCCAGTGGTCCCCAGCAATGGGACCAGAGGCAATGGGCACAAATGGAATCCTAGGTTCATCCTGAACATCACAAAATTTTTTTTTACTGTGAAAGTGACTAAGAACTTGTACAGGCTGCCCTAAGAGGTGGTGGAATTTCCCATCTTGCAGATACTCAAAATCACTTGGACGCAGTCCTGGGCAACCTGCAGGAGGTCTGAGCAACTGGGGCTGTTTAAGATGACATTCAGCGGTCCCCTTGTAAGCAAACTAGTCCTTCTTAGGGGGCTGGTTAGCTCAGTCAGTTGAGCATGGCACTAACAAGGCCAAGGTGGTGGGTTCGATTTCCCTGTGTTGCCTGATCTAGTCGAGAGGTGGCGTCCCTGGCGACAGGGAGGCTGGATTAAAATGATCTCTAAGGTCCCTTCCAGCCTAGGCCTTTCTATGATTCCATGATTCTTTTACACTATTAAATACCAATTCAGCTTTTGACACAATTTAAACGGCTAAAATCACTGTATCCTCTTATGTCCCTGAACATAGCTCTGTGGGAGCAAAGCCCTTCATAAAATGTTCCCGCTTTCCTGATATTTAATGTTTTTTGCAGTCCTGCAGTATAAATCCTGGTTTCCTATACTGCAAGTACTATTAGATTAACTTCACAAACTAACATACCAATGATATAAAATCTTTTATATAACCCAGTGTCTTTGAAAATGCAGATCCCTCAAGGCACAGGCAGATTTGGTTACCTCTGCAATAAAAAGTGTCCATATTACTGGTTAAGTCCGCTCAGTGGATGCTGACAAGTGCTAGCCCTCATCTCCTGACCTTGTTCTTTGTCGAAATCATTAGTTTGAATATAGTTTTCAGGAAGGCCTTCTGAAGACTGTGGTTACCAAATGGTAGTCTTGAAATCTGCAACACTCTAACCTGAAGCATAAAACGCAACTTGTCAATATAGTTTAGGGGCAGACCTGCCGCAAAGCAGCCCTGAGGAGAAGGATCTTGGCATCCTAGTAGACAGTAAGGTAGCCATGAGCCAGCAATGTGCCCTTATTGCCAAGAAGGCCAGTGGTATCCTGGGATGCATTAAGAAGAGTGTGGCCAGTGGGTCATCCTCCCTCTCTGTTCTGCCCTGGTGAGGCCACATCTGGAATACTGTGTCCAGTTCTGGGCTCCTCAGTTCAAGAGAGACAGGGACCTACTGGAGGCAGTCCAGCAGAGGGCAACAAAGATGACTGGGGCACTGGAGCATCTCTCTTAACAAGGAAAGGTTGAGAGACCTGGGACTGTTTAGCCTGGAGAAGAGAAGGCTGAGAGGAGACCTTGTCAATGTCTGTAAATGTCTAAAGGGTGGATACAGGGAGGATGGAGCCAGACTCTTCAGTAGTGCCCAGTGACAGGACAAGAAGCAACGGGCACAAGCTGGATCATGGGAAGTTTCATCTAAATATGAGGAAGAACTTCTTTGCTGTAAGGGTGACTGATCACTGGAACAGGCTGCCTGGGGTGGAGTCTCTGTCTCCGGAGATGTTCAAAATGCACCTGGATGCAATCCTGTGTGATGTGCTCTACACAATCCTGCTTTAGCAGCGGGGTGGGACTGGTTGGTCCCTAGAGGTCCCTTCCAACTCCAGTGATTCTGTGATTCTGTGTTGTTCCATAATTTTCCTGTCTTTTTTAGTATCTCATCAATAAGAGAAATGAACTAGAACTGGGGGCTATGCCCTCAAGAAATGCATTCAAAATTGTGTTTGACAAACCTGATCACATTCTATGACAAAGTAACCTGCCTGGCTGAGCATCTCACACCACTCTGTTGCGAGTGGTGAACATTGTACCTGGATTTCTCTAAGGCTTTCAATACATTTCCTCCTGAAAAAAACAAGTGTTATGGCCTAGATACGTGATCCGTGTGTTGAGTGGGGATTGGGCTGATAGGCCACATGCAGAGGATACTGGTAAACAGCTCCTTTTCAAACTGGCAACTTGTCATAATTAGAGTTCCCCAGGGATTGATACTGGGACCAATACTGTTTAGTATCTTCATAAGTGAACTAGATGATGGGATCAAGTCTATCTTGATGAAGTTTGCTGATGAGATCAAACTGAGTGGCAAAGTGGACATCCTGCAGGGTGAGCTACCCTGTAGGAACACCAACTTCAGGGCAAGTAAGACTGCACTGGAGAAGGGATCTAAAGCGAAAAAAGCCAATAAAAAGCTCTTTTGTGGGCTTTTTTAAGCCCGGAAAAGCGGCTTGCCTGTGCTGGGGGTAGGACAGGATGCTGGCCCATCTTGTCTAGACAATGCTTTTGCCAAGTAAGCTTGGACCAGACAACCCTTGAGGTTCCTTCCAAGGTGGTGTTCTATGATTCTATGAAAATCATAGGTATAGAAAAACAAAAATTTTACTGCAAGGCAACCTACAATATGCATTTACCAAATGTCAGCTCTTTGGTACTGTCTCTTGGTGTATGTACTCTCTTCCCAAAGTAAACGTGCAATGAGTGCTTCTCTTTATTGGGTAAGGTATTTAATTTTATTCAGGCAGTCACAGTACATGGACACCAAACATCTTATCTCACAGAAATCTGTTTATCTTGGAGCTTAAATCAGGCAGACTTCAGTAAGTGACCTCATTGTGTTTCCCATTAACAAAGGGCTACACTACACCTCAGAGAAGATAAGAAATACAACCAGAAGGGTGACAGTTGAAACTCAGGTACTGTTCCAAGATGTAGCTCCTCATATGAATGAATGTTAGAAAAAATTATGAAAGCAATGAACAATATCTGTGAATGTATACATAGTTGAAGGAATCAACCAAAAAAATATGACTACATTCTATTAGAGAAAAGACTGAAAAGCAAGAATCTTCTAAAGGTATGTATACACACATACTTTAATATAGATAAACCAGTCACAAAATTTGTAAGCCAAACATGTTTCTTATTGTACACAAAAAATCAGGAGGCCTTTACAGTTTTAGATTTTAGATATTCTATACATATTTTAAATCAGTAAATTAATTACTTTAACCAAGTAATTATGTTCCTTGTAATTCTAGTAGCATTTTCTACTTTTTAAAAAATCAGAAATACTTTGGTTGCTAAAATACATATATTTTTGTTAGAGATAGTGTGGTTGATGGCAGAAAATAATTTTCTGATGAGTGTGTTCTCTCTACCACTCCTTTGTTTCCAGAACTCATTAGCTAATGTTTTTTTTCTGCTGATCTCAATGTTTCCACTAGCAGATGCCTTTTGAATTAAGAAGTCATATATGGCTTTGGAAGTGTCTGATGAGAAATAAGCTTAGTAGGAGTGTGTGTGCTGTTTCCAAAGAATTAAATTAGTGAAATGAAAGGGCAACAGGACTAATTCCTGAAAGAAAAATGAAGTCAAAATAGGTTTTTGTGGTTTATGAATAGTAGAAGCTTTAGGGAGTACTACATTGAAAATTACAGATGGGCAATGAATGTTGACACTGCAAAATAAACTTCAACAGAAAAGATGTAGAAACAACAGTTTTTTCATAAAAACAATGACAGATTTGCATGCTTTTAACACTTCCATTAATCAAACATACCATTCCATTAAAAATGACAAGTACTAAGAACTATCTTAAATCTTGAAACAAAATCTACTAGTATCAGCAATTCTTTAGTTACATAGAGCCTTAAATATTACTATAAAAGAAACAGACTACAATCATAAAAACCATTAAGGCAGCACATTTAAACTTCTGTACGTATCAGTGCATTTAGTCAATGGAAAACCATACCGAAAAAATACACTACAAAATGATTCACAGTCAAAACGTAAGAACGGCATTTCCAAATTTCCTGGCCTGAGTCTGCAATTGTTCAAGATTTTTAAACCCTAAACAACAAGATCCAAAGCTTCCTTTCCAATATCTTTTTTAAATTATAGAATGAAATCTTAGTACAGGTATAGGATAAGTATTTTGGAATAGAGAACTGTAAGTTCAAAAGGTTTTGATAAATTGGAGCAGTGGTTTGATAAAAAGCAATGGATGCAAATTCATACACTGGAGTGGAAACAACCAACGGTGCAAGCTCAAGCTGAGGAACAACTTCTTAAATAGCAGCTATTCACAAAAGGGAATTGGGCATTAAGGATCAATACAGACTAAAAAAATATTTGTCACTCCTGTAAGAAACAGGAACACAACATAGAAATGAATAAACGGAATCCAACCACTAAGATGACAGATTAAATTTGAAGTTATACTTATCTCTGACAGGCCTCAGCTAAAAACCTGTGAACAGGTTTGGGCACTGTGCTTCAGGAAGACATGTGCTGCTGGGATCCCAAAAGCTATTAACAAAGAGATAGTCTAGTGTAAAGAACACTAAGAAGAGACGTGATAGCAATCTGCAAACACAGGACAGGTTCCCATGGAGGTAATATTATCAGCTG